GACGAAGAAATGGGGGACTGGAATGGCAATTTCTGGTTCATTAGCCATTGTCAGCCAGCGATACCCAATCGTAGGTCTTGGTTACCTGGGATTCCAACCGGGTTCTTCTGTCATTGGGCGTTAAGCAATTCAGCCATATACCCGTCCTGTCGGTTGTACGAAAAAATATTAAAAAAGGTGGGAGGCGTTCACCGATTGGAGAATTCTAGTCTTGGTTAACCCTGAGACTCCATCTTTAATCCTTGGAGTTGGTTGCGCAGAGAACTGTGATATATACAACGAAGTGGCGTAATGACAAAGGGAGACTGGAGTGCCCATTTATACTGTATCATCCGTTTTCGGCCAGTCAGTATCTTCCCCATGTTTACAGGTGTTAAGACTCGAACGCAGATTCTCTGGTCATTCAGGTTTTTAAGTCACACACTGCCATTGTGCCATGGGCCCGTTATTCTGTGGACGAGGTGGGTTTGGTCTCTCAAGACTCAAGTATTCTGACCGGTGGAAGAGTTTATTTCCAGAAAAAAAATGGACGATCAGCAAAAACTTGAGTATGAAAGACTGAATGTCCGTTGCCAATTTGCGGTGCTTTTTTCGTTTCCTCTTTTCGATGGTGCAGATAGATGCGTGCCCACTAAAAGCCCTTCGTGAAGTTCATCACACTGGTGGAATTTTTATAGCTTTTGAAGCGGCAGCTTAATGCCTGTTGTGCACTAAAAAGACAACTGAGTATCGCGTGACTTTTCGATGCACACGGTTTTCGGGTGACATACTACCAATCAAGGCCGACAGGATGGTTTGCCAGCGCCACAATGGTAGAGCGGTTGGCCCAAGGTTCAACTGCAAAAGAATTTGACTCCGATCCCCGATTCCCTTCGCTCTGGGGCCGGAGTGCGGCTAATTAACTAAGATCAATAAACTCTCAACAGGCATGGCTCGACAAGTTATTGCTCTACCCTCGTACATCTGGCCACTCTGCTGACATCAGGGTAGCCTTTCAGGCAGTCAGTCAGGTATTGAGGAGATACCAGAGGTCGCTACGACAGCACTCATTGGCACTGATGGATTACGTGTGGGATCGGCGGCTGTCATGATAAGTCAATCAGCCGAGTACCGATGTCTTTGCTCTACCGTAACGGACCGAACTATTTTTTTTATTATCGATACAGATAGAGGCTCAATGCATAACTGTAGTGGATCGATTGTTAATCACTGGGAAACGTGCTTGTTCATCCATTTGACTAGATCGCAGTTGGTAGCCAGGAATGGGGAAGTGGAAGGCGATCTTAACCCTAATCCTAACCGTTACCTCAACCTTAAACGGTAACCATTATGCCTAACGGCAACCCTAACCCTAACCGAAATCGTAAAATTAACCGTAGCCCGTAGATATAGCCGTAACTGAGAAACCTAACCGTAATACTGAAACGTATTCGTACGCTCAGACCCTAACCGTAACCCGAAAACCTAAGCCTAAAGGCATAACCCTAATCCGAAAATCGGAAACCATTAACCGGTACCCCAATCCTAACCT